ACGGAGATCATCATATCGTTCTGCCTTGCATTACTTAACAACAAAAGCGGACGGGAGCCGTATACCTGTACAGGATGTTGGAGCAGAGGAGCACTCGGGACAACATTTGTATCATCGTTACTGTTTTCTTTCACTTTTTCCATACTCAAACCTTTCTGCTTGTTCAAGTCATATTTTGACATCTTCTAGCCCCCCTTTTTTCTCTTTTTTTCATCTCCCTTGCACACTTTCAAAATCTCTTCAATCAGTTTTTTACATCAGTCAACCTGTAGTGTACCTTCAAACCCATACCCTTTCTTCCATCTTTCAAGATATTGAACACATGAACTTTAAATCCCCAGTGAGATTCCCATTTTCTTCTTTTCTTTGACTTTTTCTCCTAACTTACTCTTTTATTTATAATTCTATTATTAGAAGTTATTGTGTATTATATTATTATTATATGTTTTAGTTTTTGGTAATATTATATTTTTTGTATTTTTGAAGTCTTATTTTTTGGGGTATTTTTACTAAGTGCAAACTTAGAATGCTACGACCATTTTCAGCAGGGAGTGCCACAAGAGTCAACACGCAAGGTCTTACACAACCCGATGCCTAGGACCATTTTCAGTGGGTCTTACACAACACTTCACTTCTTCACTCCCTCACGGAGCAGGGAAAGAAAGGCGCTCGGGACCTGGCTCAAAGGACCAAGTTGGTGGGTGAAGAATCACGGCCAAAGAGAGTATCTTAAAGTCAAAGCGTTTCTTTATTCAAACAGTGCACAGAATCTCACACAACCCAAAGAGTTATGGGAGAGGAGCTCCCCGAAGAGAGAAAAACATCAGTATTAAAGCACGATACAAGTTACACCCAGTATACGTCAACTGAGCCTAGCAACAGATAAGTTGTATCCAGTTATTAAGGTAGCATGGGAGAAACATCTTCTGGCCTTTACTGGTGTGGTATGTTGATAAGGCAACAGTCCTCGTAGGACATCTGGAAAAAGTAAAATTATTTTGACCACTATGACTATGATGATGGTGGCATTGTAAAATACATGTCAATACATGTAAATGCTTTTTTCTCACAAAATGTCACACGTAGATTGGAAGTAGCATTCACAGATAAGCAAACCTGCTCCAACTTGAGGTTTTAACTTCCTTGAACCAACGTTCGTTATTACATGGAATAATGTATTTACAGGTGGGACTGGAAAGTTCTTTGGAGCTTGGTTTCATATGACGGAAACTGGCAGAACAAATATGGTTGCTTTTAGTAGACTTTAATTCATGAAACCTGATCCATCTGGAAGCTTTCTGTTACTTAAACTTGATAAATCTTGTATTTTACACTTCAACTAAAATGGTAGTGAAGATGTAAAACATAATTATATAAAAATATAAAAGCATCAAATCAGCCTCAGCAGAGTCATCATCCACCACCACCAGTGTCTCGACTCCATGGGGGTACTTATCTTGCCACCGTTCTGGGAAGACGCTCCTTGATCACAAAAATATCTCTGTAAAGTCTAAGCACCAAAGACTTGAAGTAAATTTTTAATCACCACATGTGTGATGTTCTAATAAACAATTATCTTTACTTCATTCACTTGTCTCTCCTGATTGCAACAGGATTTGCACTTTCTCTAGTCATCCTGTTTGTATCTGATTGTCAGCTTATAAAGATTCATCTGTTTTAACCAATTCTGCACTACCTCTTCATCTTTGCTGTTTAATTACAGAAACAATGATGATGACCATGATGAAGTGCAGTCCAGTTTCGGCAGTCTGTGTTGTAGGTGCTGTGATAAATCACAGTGGTACCATTTGTCGGTGAAACAGTGGTTTAAAGGCACACTAAACTATGTGGGTGCAATCAATTAATTTTGGCTATGAAAATCGATTAATTATCAAAAGATAATAGAATATTACCTTAATTTAAGTTACAGATTCTCAGGACACCCCCCCTTAAATAAGGGAAACAATAGCCAATAACTGATTGATTCAGTCTCATTAAATACTCTAATAAAATATTTATTTAGAAATCAGATTAATCATTAAATTAATAAGTATAACCAAAATCACTATTAATAGTTTGAATAAAAGGATGTGGAGTTCTGCATAGAAGAGGCTGGTATCACCCACTTTTGTGAGAAATCAATAGGCCAGCATGTATGAACTAAAGCATTTATTAAAGAAATAATAAAAGCAGAAGAAAGGAAAATACACAATCTGAAATCTAGCTCAGAAGGAACTAAGCAATGGAAAAATGTGTGTGTGTGTGTGTGTGTGTGTGTGTGTGTGTGTGTGTGTGTGTGTGTGTGTGTGTGTGTGTGTGTGTGTGTGTGTGTGTGCACGTATGGGGGAGTTGTGCGCCAGAAAAGGTGTGTGTCCTTTTGTCCTTTGTTAAGAGAGACAAACAGACAGACTCCCCTGCTTTTGTTTTACCAGGTAAACAAAACTGGTTCTTTCAAGTTCATGGTCCAAGTCCTTGAGTGTATGCCAGGTCTCTAAAAAGCAATGATTCCTGCATCCAAATTCAGGTTCATACAGATAAATTGTCTGGCGTTAAGAAGCCGCTTTCTCTGATAAATCCTGAACTTCATAAAATTTTTCAGCAGGCAAAGCTGATCTGCGCAGTTCCCTTCAGCATGGATTAAAATCACAGGATTGGGCACATACACCCTGGAACAATTTAGAAGCAATTAATAAAAATACTGCTGACCTAATGTTAGTGCACGTGTTTTATGATTGGAAATACAACTGTCCCTCCAGGTCTCACCTATTTTGCTGTATTCCTTAACTTTGGGTCACTGCTGCTTCTTTTGGTTAAATCCATCCATTGCTGAATTTCAAGGCCCATTATAGCCATCACTGGATAAGAGGTTACATTGCAAACAAGACATTGCTGTCCTCTAACCATTCCTACTAAGCTCAAAGGTACAAAAGGGGAGAAATATTTGGCTGTGTTTTTTGGAGGGGGGCTTGTACCCCTAATTTATCTTAATTGATCACAAAGAACTCCCTGTAGTCCACAAATCCTGCTGATTGTGGGTGGGTGCACAATGGTATTTTACTTGTATTTCCAAGGTATGTGTCATTTTTGTGATGATTTCATTTACAAAATGAGTTCCATTATCAGAATGAATCTTCTTTGGTATTCCAAATCCTGGTATTATTTCTCTACACAAGGCTTTTGCTACTGATATAGTGTCTGGGTGACCTACAGGAAATATTACTACCCAAGATGAAAATTTGCATATTTGCAACAGCAAACTTTTTCCCTTCACATTTTGTCAATTCAATAAAATCAATTTTAATAAGTTCAAAAGGATATGTAGGTTTAGGAAAGGAGTCTGGTTTGTCTTATAGTTACTCTGTTGATTGTTTGTTGCACATATTAGGCACTGGGAACAAAACTTAAAAGTAATTTGTTAATTCATATGCTGTGTATGTTTGTTCTACTAGCTTCACAATCCCCCCTGTGGAGACAAGGCAAGGCCCATGGCTCAATATAGCAGCGAATCTGTAAAAGGATGTAATCATACCTCTAGTTTTCCATTGTTGTGCGAAAAGGTTGAAAATGGTGATGATGATTGATTCCTGCATCCAAATTCAAGCAAGTTGTATATTATGGGAAATTATATATTATGGACTATATATATTATATATATATATATATGTATGTATATTATGGGAATATATATCTTTTGGCTACACGATAGTTTAAACTTTTACATTGAATATTGTACAGACAGCTAATAATCATGACCAATATATTTAAATGTAGAATGTAGTTAAATGTCTGTGTACAAAAGAAGCTCTTTTGTGAAGATAAACAATACAATACCTGAGTATATCAGGTGAAGAGTGTCTTTGTGACAGGCAGTAGACTGCTGTCCAAAGAAAAACAAGTATTTTAACAAGTGGCAACTTTAACTAAGTTAAACAAGCCATTAATTTGGTAAGCTGACAAGAAGGTATTTTTCCTTAGCTTATGAAAAATGTAAGTTTTGAAGATGGGACAGTAACATCATGTATCTGTTGATGTGCGTAGAAATGTGATTCTTCAGCTGATTCTGGAGCCATCAGAATGTAAATACTCCTGGAGATAAGAACAGTCTTCGCTACAGTCACTCATTCCATCCTACTCGACTGCATGGAAAAAATCCTACAAAGTTCTGTTTTGGGCCCACTTTCATTTTGCATCTACATGCTCCTCATCGTTAGGGAATATTGGCTATGATGTCATTGTTATGCAGATACATCAACCAAGGCCGATGTGACTGACTCGTCCCTGACCATCTCTGGATGTAGCACAACTTCTTAAACGTACAATATGTAATATGATCTTCATTCACTAAAGTAATGCTGCCTTAAAGGTGGGGTATGTATTTCTGGAGAAATCCAATACCCCAACAATCATTTAGAGCTTGGTCAAAGCAAGGGCTGTATACAAACACTGTCAGTTCATATAGGCCAACAGAATAAACAGCGGACCATTAACAGATATTCACAGAATTTGATAAAAAAGTGTATTAGATTTAGATTAAACTTTAAGACCCCATTATCTGCATCATCTGCCTGTGGTTTTGCAATTCCATTGAATGTTTGTACACACACAGATATCCTTATCTGCGAGGCGGGTTGATTTGTGAGATTACTGGCTTGTCAGTTTATAACATTTCATCACCCGAGTTGATTATCACTATACTGACTGGACACTCCCACAAAACTTGGATGTATAAAAATAGCAATCAGTGGTGATATTTTACGAGAGCAGTTCATCATAAGAAAACATTAACAGGTAAGAGAGATGCTATATTAAATGATTTCAGTTACAATTGGACTATAATGGATAAATGGGAAAAGACACATTTAATATTAGTTGTTATAATGCCAGCATTTAAAAGTTTGTTTGGCAGTCTAGCTCATCTAGTGACAGGTAACCTAATCAGTGTTAATAATGGTTATTATAATTGTCTACCCACTAGGATTCTTCTTCATTCCAGAGTGAAAATGGTGGATTATGAAGTGAGCATATTCACTGGCAATCGGGCCTTTGCCTACACTTTTAACCATGTCTACATTAAGCTGGTGGGCACAGATGGGGAGAGCGAACGTGAAAGGGCTTTAGCCTTCACATCTGAAGAAGTAAGTCTGCAGTTTTATTTTGTCCACCCTTCTATATTAAATTATTGTATACTAATTATTGTGATTCTGCAGCTCAGTTCTAGGTTATCAAATACTTAATCTTCATCTCATTATTCTCCAGGTGTCTACTTTTACCATGTCCTGCCCTGCCTCCATCGGAAAGCTGGTTCTGATAGAGCTAGACAAACAGCCTCTCTTAATTTTCCCTCAAGACAATTGGTTCCCTGCCAAGGTGGAAGTGAAATCCCCAGAGGGAGACACCTACAACTTTCCCATCTACTGCTGGATCACCGACAGTGAGGTGCACCGCTTCAGAGAAGGAACAGGTTTGTTGAAATGTGCTTGTCTCAGAACCTGTACGCAAGTTTTGAAAGCTTCTATGGAGTATATTCATGCCTACAAACGGTATATATCCTCAATTTAAAACTTGTTGTGGTTCTTTCTTTAAGCTCTGAGAGTCTTTGAAGACAAACATGATCTTGGCAGGTACAGTAGGGAGCAGGAGCTTAAGCAGCGAGGGAAAGACTATTGGTGAGTGCTCAGAGTTTATACACAGTTCAGCTTAATGTTACCCAAAACTAAAATACCAAACCTCCCCCATGTTTGCTTGAATATAACTCTGATGAAAAAAATTAACTATCATATGTTATATATAAAGATATAATATATATAAAAATGTGTATTATGTTGCAAACTAAATTAAAACTGCAGATGCACTGACTCTAGACATTCCAAAGTTCCTCACCACTCTGCCCTTCTCTGTTTTTCCCAGCTGGGATGTGTATGTAGAGGGAATACCTCACTGCATGAAGGCAGAAGACCCATGTTCTCTGCCTTGTGAGATCCTCTTCTCCTTCACCAAGGCAGCAGAGTTTGCCTTTACCGCAGTCACAGGGTGAAGTCTTTAAATTCTGTCAGATATCTATCTATCTATCTATCTATCTATCTATCTATCTATCTATCTATCTATCTATCTATCTATCTATCTATCTATAATGATAAACTTACTATTCTGATATTATTTTCCAGGCTGATTGAGCTTAAATTGGAGCATGTGGCTGATTGCAAGGAGAACTGGACTGATATTGATGATATGAAACCGGTGCTCTGCTGCAAACGGATTGCTATGTCAAGTACTGAACTGAATTATGGTTTTGTGTGACAATTGATGCAGATTTTCAACTGTATTTGCTGGCTGAAACATGTTTTTAATCCTGAGATTAGATTTTACTGAATTCTATTGTCTATTGTTTAATTGGCTTATTAAATGCAAATACATTTACAGAAGGATGTGTATCTAAACCTGAAGCCTGTAGATTTTTCATGGGAAAAAATAGTATTTTATTGCGTAAAATCCATACCCCAGCCGTAGCCTTTGAAACAACTGTAAGCAGTGTCCAGTCATGTCTTTGAATTCCTCACTGAAACAGTGGTGGTGGTGGATAAAAACTTTCTGGCCCAAAGTTTGAAACTCATTGAAGTACTTTGTTTTTCTTCCAGACTATGTCCAGAAACATTGGAAGGAGGATGCTTTTTTCGGCTACCAGTTTCTAAATGGTGTCAACCCCATGTTGATCCGACGTTGTTCAGCCCTGCCTGATAACTTTCCTGTCACCGATGGCATGGTCGTCCTCCATGGTCAGTGTAGCTTGGAGGATGAAATGAAGGTGATTATCTTGACTTTAGCTAATCTTAGTTTTTTCATGCACCTTGTACTCACATGTTCCCTTCGTATATGTAATATAGTGACTGTATGCATGTGAGTCAAATCATTTCTCATCCTCACTAAAAAAACAGAAAGGCAACATATTCCTGTGTGACTACAAGCGTTTGGATGGAGTGAAAGCAAACACCATCAATGGGAAGAAGCAGTACTTGATGGCTCCTCTCGTCCTGCTCCACAAAACACCAGATGATGAGCTGATGCCAATTGCTATTCAGGTGAGATTAGCGCTCAAATATAGATAATAGCTACTAGTGAAGCTGTAAGTTATTGATATTACTCAAAATGTAAGAAGTATGTTTTCCTGCAACAGGAAGCATCCACCTTGCGGAAAGTGTACTTTAGTCAAGACTCAGTGGTAGTTTATTTCTTCCTTCTTCCCCCAAGGAATGTAGAAAAAAGTTCATCACATATCATATCATATCCAAGTATGAAAGCTAGTATAAAACTAGATAATGTAATTGGGAACCTGTCAGTTAATTTTTGATTGATGATGCATCTGTCAGAGCAAATAAAACATGAGCACTGAGATTCATCTGCTTCCCAGGTGACTTAATGGATTGAATGGACTGAATTAACCGTATCCCACTTTCTTCTCCTGCAGCTGAAGCAGACTCCAGCAGAGGACAATCCCATCTTCTTTCCTACTGATTCTGAGTACGACTGGTTGACGGCCAAGTTATTTGTGAGAAGTGCAGATTTCAGTGAGCATCAACTCAATGTTCACCTGCTGCGCACTCACCTGCTGGCTGAAGTGTTTGCAGTGTCACTGCTGCGCAACGTTCCCATGGTGCATCCACTGTACAAGGTAACTGCAAGAAACAATACTGAACTTACTGCAGTCATAGTTTTTTCAACTTGCTGATTTTTGTATCTTCCAATTTGGATGAAACATAATTTTTAAGTGTGTATATATTTACAAGTATTTCAGTCTGTTAAATGGTATAGAAGCATCATCATAGAAGCACTTTTTACTCTATTAACAAGTAATCGTGTTACTAAAAGAGTTCCCTCTATCCCTCAGCTCCTCATACCCCACACTCGCTACACTCTGCAGATCAACTTCTTGGCTCGACAACTCCTAATAGCTGAGGATGGAGTTTTCACACAGGTACATAAAGACCAACACACTCAGTAGAGCATTACCTAAACAATATCATGTACAGTATTCGTCTCTAACTATGTTTCTCACATATTTGACTGTTCTCTAGTTTGCAGCCTCTGGTGGAGAGGGTATGATCACAATCCTGAAGAGATCACTGTCCTCACTGACCTACAGTTCCCTCTGCATGCCAGATGACATTGCTGAGCGTGGGCTGGAGGGTGTCCCAAACTTCTACTACAGAGATGACGGACTCAAATTCTGGCATATTATCCACAGGTATTATAGGCGCTGTTTAGAATATATATGTTATTCAAAATCATAATGGTGTAGTGACATGTACAGTAGTTTTCATGTTATACTATACACTTCCACTGTTTTAGGGTTAGAATGTATTTAGAGGCCATAAAGTAAATTAAAGTGTCTCAGATTAGGTTAAGGTTGTGTTTTTTCCATTTCCACTTGCAGGGAGCAAAGTTGTTAAGCAGAACTAGTACAGTTGATTGCTAGAAACCAAGCAAAACTAATGAAAACAAAGTTTCTGCCAATAGATCCTCCGAAATGTTACACACTGGATCTTTAACAATAACCTGAAAATACAAATGTAGGATTAGAGGGTACATTTTATTCTATTGAGTTAATCCACAAATTCTGCTCAACTCTCTGATAAATGACGACTACAACAAGAGTCTAGCCTTATAGCCACCATGCATTTTAGAAGGTAGTAGTCACTGTTAACATTTGCTCCATGGCAAACTTAAACATCTTGAAGAAACCTGTGCCACTTTCCATTGATCAAGATGTGGCCATCTGGTTGGTAGTGCAACCATCAAGAGACTTCATGTGACTGTTTGGATTGTTCTGTGTGGAAAATGGTACAATCAATGACATAGTTGTTCTATCAAAAGTCATCAAGACGTTCAAAATGAGCTCTATCACTCTGTGTGTATTGATCATTGTGTGTAGTGCAGAATAACGTAGCGTTGCTCATCACTTGGCATTCAGAGTCACTCCATTGGCATTCACTAAAAATAAAATGTAAAAATGTCCAGCCTGTATCTTTATGTATCTATTATTATGACCGAAAAAATATAGTAGCACAGGCCGACTGATATTGAAACAAAAATATTACAGGAAATGTAAAAGATATTTTAAATTATTTCAATTATTTCAAAGTATGTAATAGTATGTTTTGTAATATTTTGACACATGCCATAGTTTGAGAACCAGTTTCTTAAACAAAAGAGTTACAATGTGTTAATTGGTAAATTTAAGAGGTGTTGGTTCATATTTGAATGTTGTTTCTCCCTGCTTCCAGTGTTTATGCTAAGCTAAGCTAGTTGCCACCTGGCACTTAACACACAGATATGAGAGTTGCATTGATCTTCTCATCTAACTCTCAGCAAGAAAGAGAATAGGCATGTTTCTGATAATGTCAACGTTTTATGATCCACTGTGGCAACATGTCAAATACTGCACCAAAAGTCTTAAACATAACAGAAGTGGTCATTCTAAAGAGATGTCCATTAAAATGTGTCTTACTACATCAGTGTGTATTACAAAAAAATGAAAAATTCAACTAGGAATGTGTTCTACCAAACCTATCCACATTTCTCAAAGGTTTGTGCAGGGAGTGCTCAGCTACTACTACAAGACTGATGCTGAAGTCCAACAAGACTATGAACTCCAGAAGTGGATTCGGGACATTTTTGAACAGGGATTCCTTTCCAACGCAGACACAGGTAGGCTTAAAGAAAAGTTCCTCTTTATGATGATAAATGTGCTCATTTATATACCATTATATTATCATGATGCAAACATGTATCAAACTTTATTTTATTCTTTAAGTAACCCTGTTTATTCTGTCAAATCTCAGGAATTCCACAGAGCTTTACCACCGTGGCTGAGTTGGTGAAGTTTGTCACCATGGTGATCTTCACAAGCTCAGCACAGCACGCAGCTGTGAATGCTGGACAGGTGAATCCTTTTAATGCTGTTTTAATGCTGTTTTGTGGAATGGATTGATGAGATTTTGCATTTTTCTCTGAACTGGAGAGATATTATGCAAATTGTTTACCAGGTATGATGTTCACTAGGCCATAATCTTAGTCTACAGTTGCTAAATTGGCAGACAACAATACATCTTAAACTGTTGTTGTTTTTCTGGTATTTGGTCATAAACTGAAGGATTGGACATAGATTTTGATATGATGATGGCAGTAAATGAAAAGTCAGAGGATCACCAAAGTTATCTCAGTTCATCCTGATGTCTACATGAATGCTGGAACCACATTTAATGGCAATCCAGCAGAAATATTAAGACATTCATTTAACACCACAGATGTGAACTTCATGATGGCACTAGAGGAAGAATTAGGGAATCACCAAAGTCATGAAGAGTGATCCTCTGGGAACAATAAATATCTGTATAGATCATCCATTAGTTGCTAAGATATCTCAGTGTGGACTGGTGCAGTGGACTGACTGACCAACAGACTGACATAATGCTAACACTAATAAAAACAAGCAGCTTTTGGCTGGCTTAAACATAATAATTGTATCATGATCAAAGTGATGTGCTTCAAAAGGTATTAATCAGACATCTGTCAATCATTCATTGCAGTTTGACTATGGTGGCTGGATGCCCAACACTCCCATCTCCCTGCAACGTCCTCCACCAACCACAAAGGGGACAACAAGCGAGGCCACGATGCTGCAGACATTGCCTGCTGTCAACACAACAGTTCATGGAATGGCCACCATGTGGCTACTCAGCAGGCAGTCCTCTGACTTCGTAAGTGACTTAATAAAAAATACATAAATTATATTTATGTCAAAGTTGTGTAGAGTACATTAATATCTCATTAGAGCAAAAATACCATCAACCAAAAAAATCCAACTGTAAGTTATGTTGTCAATAGTCTACGTTTGATAAATGTTAGTGGAGAAGTTTTATCTTTAAATGTATCATTGATCTTATCAGGTCCAACTTGGCCATTACCCAGAGGAACATTTCAGTGAGAAGATTCCCTGCAAGCTGATACGGGATTTTCAAGGAGAGCTTAAAGTGCTGCGTGTAATCATCGAAAACAGAAATGAGAGTCTGGAAGTCCCATACAAATACACATACCTGTATCCAGATGTGGTTGAAAATAGTGTGGCCATTTGAATATCCGGTGGTGTGTCCTCAGTCGTGGGCCAAATTCAGCTTTATACTAACGAAAGTGAGAAAGGGAGGAACTGCATGTTTTTAACTGATACTATAGTGGAAAGAAACTTCTGTATATGATCATTGTATGCTGATCTGTGTCTCTTTTTATTCAGCCTAATTAATTAACTGTGGTGAAAATATACTGCTTTTCTAATACACAAACACACATGTTCTTTCATGAACAACAGCACTTATGCATATGAATACAAAATGAATGTATGTGTTTAGCAAAACCCTCATTCAACACAGTGCCAAATTGATTTGATTAGATTTTTTAAAATTTAAATAAGATGTTGTATTAGATAATTTGTCTCACTTATCATGTTGTGTGTAATGTTTCTGCATTTAATACTTTCTGTGTGTGGCAGTTGATTTCTGATCACTACTGTCCACTCACACTGAGGTCTACTATAAACTGAGACCACATTCACTCATCAAAATAAAGCTTTGGTTGACATAATATTTCATTGTTAGTGTTATTATTTATTGTGAGGGACACTTACAAACAAAACAGTATGCTGTTTCACTGTATTCTCCTTTTTCAATCTTTGGAGCAAGACATAACTCAGCAAGAGATTTAACAAAGCAAAGCTAACACAACAGAACATAAACACACTCAGACAGTATTACATAACCTTCAGACAGACAGACAGACAGACAGACAGAATGATAGTTCTTTTTTCAACTTGGTGAACTTTGACCTCAACTAAGAGCAAACACTGCATTATATTGCATTCTGTCTGCTCTATTTTTTTTAGATTATCACCCAACACTGGTTGATAATAAGTGTCACATTGAATGTATCCAGAATAAAAAGACACATTTACCAAAAAAAGATTTTGACCCCTAATTCAATACAATAGAAAGAGTATAATTCTGTTTGTGCTTTGAAAAACAGTGAGAATCTGAACAACTCCACACTTTGTGTCTTTCCAGTAACATTTCCTGGTTACTTTGTATGATTCATAAACCTCACTGTCAAAGTAGAGAGTAGTTCAAAATGTCAGTAGATTATCCAAAGTGGGACACTGTTTCTGTGAAGAGAGAAATTACTTGAGTTTTCCTTTAATGCTAAAAAATTAAAGGAACATTTCTTTCACCTCCACTGCTAGTGGAGAAATCTCAGATATCCCAAAACCTCAATACATAAACCCACAACTCTGCTGCGTGGGCAGATACCACTAGAGATAAGATTGTAATGTAGTGGAAGTGACCTTGACGTTGTTCCACTGGTCAGCTTTGTTGTCCTTGTGTGGTTCATTGTATCCAAATAGTTATGAGGTCAGTAAAAGCTGCTCAAGGAGGATTTCCTGTCTCATCTGCCAAAATTCTGAGCAATAACCAATCCTTGACTTCATGGAGTAAGTAGGCAACCAGCAGAGATGAAGAAGCGATTGGAGGAAGGACAAGCTATTAGATGTATGGACACAATAAATGTACAAGATTTAACTTTTTTTTTTTTTTACAACTCTACTAACATTGGTTTTATTTCATTTTAGTTTTATTTTAGTTTTTCTTGTTTTTAATCTCTTTTGCTGCTCATATTGACTTTGACACATGTAGGTTTGACGGGAAATGAGAGAATTGACGAACAGGCGGCATTAAAGGAAGGAGAAATAAAAATGCTAATAACTATCAGCAAGGTAGAAGTTTAACAAATAATCTGGGACAAAAAACAAAACAAACACAAAAAAATAAGATGGGACAGAGAGGGGGAAGGGAAGCATCTTTATAACATTCAAAAGAGTGTTAAAGAAACTTGGGTACGCAATGGGAACAGGAGAGAGGAAATAATGATGGCAAGGTTAAGATTGGGGCACTGTGCACTTGAAAAAAAAAACACTGAAAATAGTAGGGAAACATCAGACAGGGTTGCGTGAGGGATGTCAGGAAGAGGAGTCGGTGGAACATGTAGTTCTGAGTTGTAAGAGGTATGGGACAGAGAGAGAGGTGATGAGAGACAAAATGGGAGAATTAGGGGTGCAGGAAGTCACATCACTGAGCATGGGTGAGTTCATCTTGTTGGCCTTTGAAAGGGATACAGGGGGTTTCTACAGGATATGATAGACAAACGTATAGCTTAGGTTGCGTGTGTGTTTGTCTGGTTCTTTTGTTGCTTTTATAGGGATTTAGATTATAAATCTATTTTTTGACTCACACTCCGGAACAGAAGATGGCGGTAATGCACCAAAAAGCTGGATGCCAACTGCGGTAAAATAAGAAAAAGAAGATGAAGAAGCATTTAAACGTGCAGTTCTCCCTCCAGACCAGGGGGCGGCGGTAGTGCGCCCCCACGTTGTTTACCATCCGCCACAGAAGCGGATGTAAAGCAACGTACACAACGCTGGCGTGAGCACACGTGGGTAAGCAAGTTTATCAGTGATACATGTAATGTGGTGTTGGTAGTTTTATTAGAAAACATGTCAAAGAGACAGAAAGCTATGTCAGAAGAAAAGACGGGTGCTGAAGTGGGACACGGGGAGGAGGAGATCCAGGAACCGCCGCCGGAGACCAGACGAACTCGCAGCGGCCGAAAAGTTCGCACTCCTGCCGCATTGCTGGACTCGGAAGCCCCGGTGAGGACTCCCACCCGGAGGACGAGGAGGTCCGTCCTCCGGGAGCTGCCGGCGGAGGAAGAGAAAAATACGGAGGTGACGGAGCGGAGACCCGAGAGTCTGCCCGAGGAGACGCTCAGCGTGTCCGCAGACCCGGTGCACACGGCGGCTGCGGCAGATACAGACAGAGCCGAGGTCAACGGGAGCGGAGACCTCCATCAGTCCGAGCCCGCACCAGCTGAAACCGTACCCGCGAGTACCGACACCATCCCAAAGAAGAAGCCTCGAGTGGAGTCGAGTGGAAAACCGAAGCCGGTGGTTCCGCTGGTTCCGCTGGGAAAACCCAAATCTGGGAGAGTGTGGAAGGACCGCAACAAGCAGAGGTGATCAGTGTGATAGTGGAACTACATACATTTACTTAACTACAGTTTTTAGGTACTTGTGATTTTCTTGAGTACTGTCGAGTATTCTCATTATTCTATTGTACACTTTTACATTTCAGAGAGAAACATTGGCTATTTTTTATATATATTATTATTTGTTATTTCATTTACAACTTTAATTACCTTATTATTACATTAGTTACCTCTCAGAAGTAGTGGTGCCTGTTTATATAAAGCGACAGTGACATGTAAAACTACTCTTGCATATTCAATTCACCCAATAAAGGGCCAATAGTATTCATCTGGCCCACAGATGGGTGAGACCACTACATATTTATGCACTATGAGTGAGGTATTCCCTTCTCCATTCACTCATGAAACTTGCACAACAATGTGATGCCTTCCCCATCCTAGTAAAAACATTCAGCTTGCAGAACACTATTAAATGATGCACATAAGAGAGGATTTAGAAGTGGGTGTACCCAGTGCTGACTGAACAGTAAGTCGGTTTACACCGTGTATATTTGTGGATACTCTGCACTACACCACTGGATTTAAGTACCATTTCCATATCAACACATCAGTAATAATGATCCAACAATATAACAGTCTACATAATGTTTACTTTTAATTCTACATTTAGTTGCTAATAGTTTTTACTAAAGTAAAGTTTTGACTTTTACTTGTAATTGAGTAGTTTTGTAGTCTAGTATGCCACTTTTACTTAAGTATATTGTTTGAATACTTTAACCGCTGGCAGTATGTACAGTAACCATTAGGCAGGTTTTCATCTCAACCAACAGGCCTCTATGTATTAACTGTATCCTTCTCAGCTTCAGGCAATAACCTGTTTTTTAGAAAATAGTAATATGGACACACAACTTAATTTTACATATTCAGAGAGAGAGAGAGAAACATTACGTTGACCTTAAGTATTAAATTCTGCTTCTTCAGATAATAAAGTCATTCATCTGTTACATTGCTGTTGAAGTATACATTACGGTTGAATATCAAACCTCATTACTTTGGGTAATGACAGCAAATATCTAATCTTTCATGTATTGCAAGATGGATTTTTATGACATGACCAATTCCCATCAAAAACTCAGCTCTTCTCTACGTCAGCAGTCCTGGAATTATGTTCTTGACATAAAAATTATAAAAACCGACATTTTCTCAGCATTGGAATTGAAAATGTTTGGTGTATCTCCACTATATGGGAAACTTTATGCATGAGATATACTGTTGGAATGTGTCTTGTATTATCTCTGAACCTCCTATATGTGATTGTGTCTCATAGGTTCTCAGCAATGGTGAGAGATAAACCGTTGTGCTCTTCGTGGGAAAAGAAGATGCAGGCCAAGCGGGAGAAGGATCAGTTGAAACAGTATTCTGTGCAGCTTAAAGATGAGAAAGCCAAACAGAAAGAGGTAGAGCTTATATCTCTGATGGTTTAACTCTTGTAATGTTAAAGGAATTGTGAATTTTCATTGATTAAAAAAAAAAAAAAAAAAGAATAATAATAATTTTCTGGCTTTATAGGAAAAGAGAAAAAGGAGAGAAGACAACTTGAAACGTCGTGCAGAGAACGAACGCAAAGCAGAGATTGTGCAAGTGGTACGTAAACTGTTGCTGTCCAGACGAAAAGGGCTGAACACCACGTCACACACCGTTTCCAATTCATGTTATACCGTCACTGTAACCACAATTTGTTCAAACACAGCATGCTTTTTGTTCAACCCATTTAAGTCGGAGTCATGGTACAGACGTGGCCACAGTTTGACTTTGACCGCGTGTCTTTTGTGAGAGCCGTCCACAGACGTTATGGCCCCTAAACTAATGATGGGCCCAGCTTCTGCCTACACGATTGAGGCTGATTTAGAGTTGTACGTGGAGCCTACACTGTAATGAGCGTTTACTGCTAACGACACCGCCAAAACGCGAGATGGTGGTGGGGTTCCTATGCTGCTGTGTTGAGTTTTGACAGGAACCGAAACTCTCTCCTTAACCAGTCTTGTGTTTTCCTCGTTTCATTTGCCCATGAAACGAAAGGACAAGGGGACAGACAAAAGCATGTTGTGCAGCGTTTGTCTCTGCGTGTATGAGGACACGTGTATGTTTGAAGAGGGATTCTCAAACATTCACTCATCTGGGTTTTGCATGAGTTGTTTCCCATTCTCAAACAATTCACACACGCACACCAAGCAGCCCAATCACAGTTGTTGCAGTTTGCGTCAGCGCGACATCTAGTTAAATTTCTAAGGAGGTGGATGTCGTGCTACAGTGTAGGGTACAAGGCTACGCTGTCAGTATAAATCAGGCTTTAGGGTGCTGTGCTGGGTTGAAATGGTTATCTGCAACTTCACCACTAGATGCCGCTAAATCAACACACCTGTTCTTTAAAAAAAGTGTAATGCAAGGCTCTATAAAACATTGTTTAAATATGACAATTCTGTTTTCTAAATTAATAATTCTAAATTATTATTTTTAAACAAAATTATACATTTTAGAAACAGTGGAACACAGCTAAGTATATTAAACTTTTTTTCGTTTTATTTGTGATTGTGCATATATAGAAATATCTGAAATGTATATATATTTTAATATCTTTTTAGTTACACAAGATAATTTTTTTAAATCTGTTTTCTAACACATTAGAGTTGCAATAAAGTTATGATTCAGAATTGAATTTGTGCAATAAAAAGGCAACCAACTGAAAAGAAAGTTGATAATTAGCAACATAAGCACACACATTTCTTTCTTTTTGGTGATTTGAGCCCAATTTATATTCCTCTGTCTCATTTGTATCACAGATCAAAAACACAGCAAAGATCAAGAGGATGAAGAAGAAACAACTAAGGAAAATTGAGAAGAGAGACACACTGGCTCTGCTGCAGAAGTCACAGAAGCAAAATGTAAAAGCCAAAACGCAAAAAAGTAATAAGGTGGACCAAGATCTCACCTAAAGACTGTAAGATAATAAACATGCATCTGTTCAGTACTTTGCCTTCATGTCTTATATTTGGATGTCTGAAATACAGCAAACACGCCCCTGTGGGAAGGTTTGCTGTTGTGCTTGCTGCTGGTCAGGACTGCTTTTTTTTATTTTATTTTTTTGCATTATATAGATATTATTAATTTGCTTATTGTCCTGTTTTATTCTCTTAAGAGCCTGTGTGCCTGTAAATAATCACGTGAAAAACTTTTTACTTACAGGATTTTATATGAAATAAAAACATATAATAAAATCAAACATTTTTACTGTTCATGAAATTGTGACACTAATTGATGGCTGGGAAAGGGGCACACAGGTTAAGAAACGGTACAGTGATGGCATGCTGAATTTCAGGTATGTACCATTGATAAGTGAAATATGTGCGTCTCCATTGTTAACTTGAGGTGCTCAGAGCAGAGTGTACACTTAATAAATAGTGCCAACAAAACCAGTAAAATGCAGAAGAAAAATTAGAGTGATGCTGCTTTTGTCTTCAGGGTATATTCTTAAAGTCTCCCTCCACTCAAAAATATGTTTTTCTTGTTCCTGCCGTTGGATGTTTGAGCGTCACTGTTCAGAATGATGTAGAGTTCGACACAAAAAGGATGGTGTCATCTGCTTAAAGTGGGAAGTTTCTTTGTGCTCACTGACTGTCTGATGGCCCTACGAGCGTGATTTGTAACCTCACAAATAGTTTACCATAGTCAACCCTGGTCAGCTTATACAACTTACCAATACACAATACACTGAGAATGGAGTTCACAGTGAACTAGGAGCCATCTTGTGTCTAGCAGGAAAATATAGATAAACATTTGAACAGGTAGAGGGAGAAGTCTTTTTAAGGATTTTAATGCGGAAATTATAAATTCTTTGCAGAAAAAACATGTCAGACACACATTATTACTTAAGCAGACTATTTGTCTAATACATGTCCACAGGGGATCCCACCCCATTAATCAGCTTACGTTTAATAAGTGTAAAAATTATTATATTCAATCAAGAGTACAGCCTTTAAATGATGATGTAGTTTTTCTGTAAAACCCAACTGATAAATTGGTCAGGGCGATATATATCGGTCGATATTGGGTAATTGCAGATCCATATATAGATACTGGTTCATATGTCATTTGATGGTAGTAGAGTAGTAGCATTTTCTTTCTAGCTTCGCACTGTCTGACCTGTTATGAATAAATGTGTAAGAATGTACTAAACTGGAGGAGTCCCTGTAACTTTAAGCTTCTTGAACTGTTATTTGGATCCTTGGATCCCTAGTTGTTGCGGTTGTATGTTAAAAAAAGTAACCTGACAAGTTAATATTCACTAAGCTAGATAAATTAATCAACAGCCAATTTTTTTAATTTTTCATCCAAATATGACAAATATTCACTGTTCACCAGCTTCTCAAATATTCAATGCTTTTCCTTCTCTTTTATGAAGGTGTCGACTTGGGCTATTAGGATATTATAATGGGCAACTAAACAACTTATTGATTAATCAAGACAATAATCTGTTTGAGGCATTTTTATGTGAGTGTGTGGAAGGTCACATTGTTTATTTTTCAAAGCGTTACGCAAGAGGCTGACAGGTGACTGCTTTGGCTACCGACAAGTTCACAGTATACAGTGCAGACAAAGGGCAGTAAACACTCTCACTGTACTCCAGAACATTGGATTTAAAAGTAAACAATGACTACTAGATTCAATTGAGGACCACGTAACTATTGAAAAAATAAATATTCATACAATATTCCTTTTACAAATTAAAAAATAATTCATAAGAAATAAAACACAACTTTGATCGAGTTTATGATGCTTTTAGCTAAAGTTTAGCAAACTAAAGATTATAGTTTATTAGGTATACCTAGCTAAAACTATTAGATTGCAGAGATATGAATGGGATGGACAAAATAACAGAAACACCTGTCCATATAACACAATATAAAGCATCATCATAGTAGCAGCAAAAACTGAACACTACAACATGTATGAAGGTAGGATTTATTGTAGGAAAGTTGTATTAGGCGGCATTAGTTTTATCTGGGTGAACCCAATAAACAAATGAGTGTATATTACTGTGTAAATGACACTACTGAGTCAGGTCCTGGCTTCATGACTCTTTTATACTTGTTCTACAGATACACTACATTTTAGCACATCACACAAAAAAGAAGTAAACACACTGTACCTCACTATAAATAAATTATATTCCATTATCCTATAATTACCATGTGACCACAGTGGCTGCTGTTCAGCAAAGGTCAAGTGTTGACATCCACATTAAACAATAGAATATGGGGACTCTACGAACTAATACCAACTTTATTAGTGAGTTAGTATTGGTAAGAAGTGGTTCACATGGAGTGCAATGTGACTTCTGTTATTTAGCAAATGAAATGAGGCATTTTGACACCAACTGAAACATGACATTAGAGGACAGATATTGGCCATTTTGCTTACTACTTGCCTCAGTAGTTGACCTCCAGCAACATACTGGTATTGATTGTGACACATAACTTTTTAACGCAGCATAAATTAATGCATCACGAGATGTGGTTTCAGTCAAAATACTTTGTATTGTATGTTGCACCTAAAATAGCTGAGTAAATCTGGAGAGCAGGTTGCACACAAAAGACACCCTGCTTTTTCCCCAGCTTTATTTTCATTCCATGGGCTTTACATGACACATTCATTGTTAAAGTACTGCATAAGCAGCCTATGCACAAATAACTCACAAATGTATACACACTGCAGCCTTTGTGTCACACGGCAAGGCAACTCCTTCAGTTCATCCACCTGTTTGCTTAATAAATTCTTTCAGTTGCAGTAGAATAACGTGACGTCCTTTAAAATGTGCGAATAAACAAAGCAACTTGTTAAACTGCAGTGACCGGTGTTGAAGGAATGATCATCCTTCAAACATACTCAAAGCTGGTGTCTTTTACATCATTTTTCATGTCTGTCATTCACCATATAAAGACAGTGACGAACACAGAGTTTATGTTAAAGGTGCACGTATGAGGGAAGAGAGGGACAGCTCAAGTCAGCTTTTTATAAGAGTACAATCCAGAGAAGCTTTGTAAGTACAATCTTTTTCTATCTTTTAGAGTAATTGTGCAGAAAATGGCTTACTGATTTTATGGCATTATTATGTATAAAATGTGTTATTCATGTATTTTCACAATTTTTTGTTTGTTTTATATTATATTTGTTAGAAATCTCTGAGAGACTTATTTACTCTTTACTTGTTAAGTGGCAGGAATTGTTTACTAAATCAATTAAGAAAACACAAAAAAACATTTGAATTTTTTCTTTTAGATGTAACAGATTTAAAATGCTTCTGGTGATTCTGATACAGCTCCTGATCATCGGTGAGTAAAACCTGTTTCTCCTGTCACGGTGTGTTGCAATTTTTTGGAAAAGGGATACAGTCCTCTCTTATACTGATGTTTTATTTATTGCTTAACAGCATCAGCAAATGGTCAGGTAACAACAACTGCACCAGCCACGACCGTCGCAGCCACGACGGTCGCAGCCACGACGGCCGCAGCCACGACGGCGGCAGCTACGACGGCCGCAGCCACGACCGTCGCAGCCACGACGGCGGCAGCTACGACTGCCGCAGCCACGACCGTCGCAGCCACGACCGTCGCAGCCACGACGGCGGCAGCTACGACGGCCGCAGCCACGACGGTCGCAGCCACGACGGCGGGAGCCACGACCGTCGCAGCCACGACCGTGGCAGCTACGACCGTCGCAGCCACGACAAACGCCACAACCACCAACACTGCTCCCGCTGCACAGGCTGGGATTATGTACATGAGCAGTCTGGTTGTGTGTTACTTCACTATTTTTCTCTACAAGCTCCTCTTTACTGTGTAACTTGGTTGTGTTGCCTTTATCTATTTTTACACAATACAGTCACTGTTACCCACTCAGAATGTAATTTATGTTCAAATATATAACCTTATAATCGTGTTATGAAGCACTCCTGTTGATGGGTTTCAAAAATCTAGATGATCCAGTGTGTTAAAATGTTATAATAAAAGGTTGGTGGGACTCAGAAGATCTAGGTTTGTGTCTTTTTATTGTCACCGGCTTTAAAGTTATTGTCATAAAACATTTGGCAGCTGGTTTTCAAGGCTTCTTCTGCACAGTTCACAGGTATTTTTCCCCTAAACTTTTTAGCTTGGTTAAAGTTTTTGAACTGTTTTCTCAAATTACTTTATGAAGTGATCAGTTTTCCTTGAAATGTTATGACATGGGCGCACCGAGGCTGAGTCCTTGCTGCAACGGCCCGCGGTTCGAATCCGACCTGCGGTCCTTTGCTGCGTGTCATCCCCTCTCTCTGCCCCCCTTTCCTGTCTATCTTCAGCTGTCACTATAATAAAGCCAATAAAAGCCCAAAAAAATATAGAAAAAAAAGAAATATTCTATATGTAATTCATATGAAGTAAATAATCAACTTTTATCTGAAGGCCATGATTTGGAGTTTTTAAGATATCAATTAATTTGTTTATTAATTAATTATTTGTTATTTTTTGTCTAAATACAAGAAGCAAAAAAATAAGTTGATAAGGACTCCAGAAAATAACTTTTAAAATGGTGTTCTGGACTTAAATATACGGCCCATCCTGCCTGCAAAGTCTCTGTTTTATATATATTTATATATATGTATATACACATTAGAAGGAATTACATATATATGTATACTTCCTTCTAATGTCAATTCAGTTAATCAGAAAGTGACAGAAAGTTCTGATTAATGACCTTAATGCAGGTCGCAGGGTGTGTGACCGGACATCAAAACATCAAAATGACAGGTTGAGAATGAGACTAGTTGTCGTACTGTTTAATATACAGGCCTCACCCACGTTAAAAAAATTAGTGAAGACATAAAAAAAAAAAAAAAAATGTGGTTATATGATGACACATGAATTTAGGAGATACTTTAAGATACTCTGACTGGAGTCCCAGAAACCAAACAGTAGTCCTGATGTTTGCTGTGTGTCAATTAGTTTCGGGTAATTTAATTAAGCTCACATTTATTTAGGAATGTGTACTGTGTTCCTAGCTCACTATAACTGGGGGGGGGGTGAATCATGGGAAGCTAGATTCTCACACAAAGAGCCTCTCTGCAAGACAAGGCCACAAGATTAGCCAACAATGCAAGATATGCTTTAAGGCACTCATTGTTTTAGGTGAACTTGCGGGGGGTGTTTTGTGTCCTGGGTCAGTCACACATTGATGTCACATTAGTGCATTGGGAAAAACAGTTAATGCATTAAATACTTTATAATGTTGATATCATATATACAGTAGAGGGAATGGCTTAAGACAAATCCTCTCAAACTGGGGGTCCGTGCTCTAATGTGCATCTATTGTGGGGGTCCTTGACATTAAAAAGGTTTGGGATACCCTGGTAACCTCTTATACATCCAGACTGCCAGCTTTAAAGTCTGTTTTAACAAAGAGCACATAAGGTAAAACCAGGGTAAAACTGGCATATTGTGGACTTCATAGTTGCGACCTCAGACCTGCAGTCACAGGAATCAGGGTGTGCATCTACCTGAACAGGTTCAGTACCAGGGCCTCCTCCTCGTGTGACACTGAGTGCCAACAGCCAACAGAAATGAAAAGGCTGTTTTATGTTTTCCATTTAGCACCTATTCTGGGGGAGAACTACTGCATGTGAGAAAAGTTGTATAAAGACCTTAATCACCACTTGAGGCTGAAGAGTTTGAAAATGAAACAAATGTGGGGATGTGAAAGAAAACAAGTGAGTTTACCAGACTTCTCCCCCCTCTCTGCTTGTGACTACATTAGCTGCTTGGTACTTGCACAACACCTGTAACTGCTGCATTGTGGGTAATGTAGGCGACAAGCAAAGAAGGAGAATGCATGGAATAAAATATCTTTTGTTCTACTGTGTTGGTTTTGATCTTTTGTTTGTGTCCATTATGAATCCAACATTATAGGTATAAATACTAAATACTCTATGTTTCAACACTAGTTTATCTATTGACTTCAATTATAATATATCCCCTCTAGATGTCCCTGTTGTGTCAATATTGTTCTTTTCATGAAGCTGATCCACTTTCACATTATATTCAATATAGAACTGAGCTGAGCAAGTAACTAATGCTATTTAACCACGGTGGTGGTATTACACAATATTTGAATTAGTCTGTGGTCAATATGACAACATTCAAGCTATCAGTTTTGAATAAAGTCAAAGTGCAAGATATTCATTAAACCACTGAGCATATCTCTTATCAGTCAATAAGTGAATCTGGACCACAATTATTACACTCTTACTCATGTAACTGTGAGATAGAAATATACAATAACATTTTTACATCAAATGTTGTCTATCTAAATCATTACATAGCTTTCACATATTCAGGGTAGACTTTTTTTTATTTTGCTGAAAGACATGTGGACTGTGTATACAAAGAAAAACACTTCATTCTTTTCCAAAACTTGGAAATTTTATTTACAGTTCAAGTCAGTCACATGCAATATTTTCTTAAAATGAATAAACATGAAATTAGCAAAAACAAGAAAAGAAAAAAAAAATGCATATTATTTTCTCCAAAATAGCAATATACAAAAATAGAGCTTACAAATACTGTACAGCAATTGTCTCCAAAAATATTCTGCTGCAGAATTCTTAGTTTTACAATGTCTGTGAGAGTCCACAAACATAATCAGTGTTAACAAAAAGGGGTGTGTAGATGGGGGAGGGTGTTCATGTACACTGGTAAAGGTGGGAGGGGAGTGATGTGTGAGTTGGGAGGGCATTACGAGAGCTACAGAGGAATAAATAACACACCATACAGACAAGAAGATAGTTTACTTTAGGGGAGGCAGTGATAGAGATTAAAAATCCTAAATGGTCTGGTCGCTAAAACCAACCATGGAAATATGATGAAACCCTCTTCTACAGAGGAAGTGTGTACTACATTTTTCTATTTTAGTTTTTTTAATAAAACAGTCATATTCTGCCAGAACACTGAGGGGACCATCACTTAAATGGTATTCTGTTGCCATCATTCAGATGCTTTCTACTCATTTTTTTATGTTAAAAGGTGTTTCTGACATCATCATCTGACTCATATTTCATCTAAGATTGTGTCTTGTGTATTTATAATGGAGTTACTCAGAAGCAGCACTGACGGCAATGGTGATTTAAATGGCAGGAAGCTATTTATTTATATATTCATGACTGGCTCAGTTTCCATTATTTTTTGGCCATAAACTGACAAGAGACTCACACCCATGTATTTTCTTTTCTTAATGTAGGAACTTCTTTCTGATTGGCTGACACTTTGACTCAACAGCTCATTTTGGGTTGGCACTTTGTTTTCAGTGGGAATAGGACGGCACACAGGAAGGAAACGGGAAAGTTCAGGTGGAAAGGCTAAAAGTGTTTACAATCGAACACAACACTTAAGATGGCCAAATGGCAGAAGTGTTCAGCTGCCATTTAGTTTATATTCAGGAGCATTATTTGTGCACCTTATGTATAAATACAACACTACTGATACTACTGTCTACATACATTTAACATTTGTGATATCAGTGGCAACTTCACTATGCAAAATAGCATGCTTTCACATTAAATCTCATCATATTCTTTGCTGCCTCTCGTAAACCTTACATTCTGAGACGACACCGTTAGCAGGAACAAAGCTTTAAGACTTAATATGTTATTAGCGCTGAGCTACAAAATATGTCGTCTGTCTGGGACAGTGGCAGAAGTACTAGCCGTGGTATAGTTTATGTAGTGAAGTTTTGGGGATAATGCTATGAAGGAAAAGTTGGTTCTCATACTGTAGCATTTGCAGTAAGATACAAGTTCAATGAAACAATCGCAGCCTCTTCAGAACCAAAGAAGCAAAAAGGTACCAAATACTGTACATCACACAACATACTGAAGAAGTTATGTTGCATCTTTTCCTCAACGTAAAACCACAACCTCTTTACTGACAGGCCAGGCAATAAAAATTATTGATAAACTGTAGACTGAAGAGGCTGTAAGATTACCAATTAACACAGCCCTTGTTTGTTTTTCTAATTGTGGCATTTTTTGTTCAATTAAGGCTAATGTGGACAACATTGAGATTGAGACATTTTAAAAATGTTATTAGTTTCTCATTAGTGGTGACATAGTGCTGCATTAATGTCAGAGGACTGGACTTTATTAAGTGCATGGAACAACTGACTAATGGGCTACACACTGGATAGAGAAAGCCTGCTTTTGCACTCATCTAACTGCTGACATTTTCACCTTGCTGCGTGCTCTGACCCAACCACAAAGGTCACACCTGTGGGGTGTGGGCAGACATTCAAACGAGATGAAACGTTCAAACCATAGAGATCAGAATAACAATGCTTTCCAGTTATAGAAGGTTAAATGCATTGCCACTTTTTAAAAACCACCCATGTGTTGGGAACTGTGTAACTCCATGCCCATGACAGTCTGTGGTGAATTTAGTCAAATTGGAAATGTGTTTTTAAAAACATAATCAGTATTTTTTGTTCTAATTTTTTTTATTTGAGTTTGTTGGAAAATGGATTTTGTTTCTTAATTAGAATTCAAAATATATGCCTGTTTAGTTTATTTTTCCATCAGCAAAACATTAAACATGTGAAGAAGCTTTTTACAGCCAATGACACATTGTAAAATCTGATTTAAATGTTGTCTAATTGTGTATATTTGGATCATGAATTGCACCTTTAAAGATAATTGTCTGATTATCATTTGACAATATCCAAGGTGAAAGACAATCACCATCTTATTTTACTCTGAAGCACAGCTTTTTTTAAGCCACCATTTGAGATCAGCACATTTACCCACAACACATTCACCAAATGCAGCTAACAAGGGACGAGGACAAAAAAAATGACCACAAAAGCCGGCAGGGCTCGGAGTTACTGTATGTGTGGCACAAAACAAAAAGCACCCCTGTACCGTACAGAAAGGGGGAGAGAGGCGAAAGCACCAGAATACTGCTGTCAAAAAGCAGTAACCCTGTCTGTATGTATGTGTGTGTGTGTGTGTATGTGTGTGAATGAAAATGCTGCTTCATTACAACCTGCTGACCACTGACTCTCTGGCAGTCCAGGCCGGGGGCTCAAGCCCCTCCCTGGGTGCATGCGTGTGTGTTTTACAAAGTAATGTGTATCTTGAGCAAAGATATGTTGATGATATGATGAGGGCAGTGATTCTGATGCAGGTGTCAGTCCGCTAACTTGTTTGATCAATGCAGCTGTACCAAGAAATTATAATAAATTAAAAAATAAATACAAATTATCTATTGGGGTACAAAAAATACTAAAAATAACTGGAACTGCTTCATCCTGGTATCCTACTATACTGAATTATCAATCATTTTCTAGCAGGATATGTGACGCTAGTTTAAGATAAATCACCATGACTGTTGTTGCTTTGTGTTGTGAAGCAAGCCACTGTAACATTCACACAGCTCGGCTTCAATAAAATAAAATGATGCAGCAGGAGAGCAAAATAAAACTGGAACATTTATGTTACATATTGTAGATCTTTTGTTTAATATTGCCTTGTTACTGGTGTTTGTTCTGTAAAACAGCTCCATAAATAAAGCACCAGTTTATATACACTAATACTGGTTTAGATAATCACAGTAGTTGAAGTAGTTAGTCGGATTTTCTGTTGGAGAGATCCTGAATTGTTTAATGTTTGGGGTAATATATATATAGCCTGCGCTTGTCTAACAGCACTCGTGTATATATATATATATAGGATGTTACCTGGTAAATTCCTTTAATGAAAATATAATTTGTTCACTATCAACTTCCTGTACTGACAGAATAATAATAAAATATATTAACAACAGTCACATTGTAATGAATGACAAACAGATGATGAGGGAACAAATTCTATAGGCTTAGTGTGAAAGATTCTGGGTTTCAACACATTCAAACCTTTCACATTTAGTCAGACATAAAGTCTCGAGGTTGCTTTGAGCTTAATTTCTTGTGTGTGTGTGTGTGTGTGCATTGTCCAAATTTCCTGACATCTACCAACATAGGTATTGTTGTCCCTTTGAGATACTTTTTTTTTTGTTTAGAAATCAAAGTTTACTAATTAAAAATGAAAACCCATTTGCTTTGTACTGTACATAGAAATAATAGTTAATGATAAAATATAAAACATGACCTTGCTACTACGATCACAAGCAATTAAAGTTCGACTTCTCGTAAAGTGCTTGTTAAAAAACAAAACAATTTATATTTTAGTGTATTGTAGTTCTTGGCTTTTTTTTTTTTTTTTTTTTTTCTCCTGGTCTTTAGCTGGTGTCCCCAGAAAAAGTGCTTTGGTTGTGAAAAAGTTATCGACCACGTCTTGGCCAAGAACAAAACTTCTTCTACATCAACTCTTCTTCATTGTCCGCGAAAAGAAAAACATGAAAACAGTTGATTATCAGTCAGAACTGATATCAGGAAATCCTTTTTGTGAACCAATGCATGGATAAGAGAGGTGCAGATTTGCGTTTTTTTTTATGAGTATCTGCGCAGTAACTCCAGTTTCTCCGGTCTGTCCACAGACTCATACCAAAGTGTACCTGTACAGGTGAGAGTATGAGTGATGGGATGTGTGACTGTAGTGTACTGTGAGAGAGGGTTTGAGCCCGCTACACCAGGTTCTCGATCCCGGGCAGAGGCTGCTGTATTGGCACAGGGGGATCCGTGCTGCCAGCCTGCTGGGCGAGCTGCAAGACAGGCATGTTGCACAGCGGGCACACTTTCCTCACCTCCAACCACTTAATGAGGCACCTGGAAGTCAGAAAAAGCAGTGAGCTTATGGTTAAGGCAAGTGAAGGCGTACAGAAAATGTAAGCCTATTCAAAGTCCCTATTGGAGACTCTATATGTGTCAAGACTTGTGCCTGCTTGTAAAGAATCATATTTTGCCATTATATAATGTATAATAGTATTATCTGTTATTTTCTAATTAATTTAGCTCATCAAAAACATCAGTAATGTGGCTGTTGTTGGAAGTTCATCAAATAAACTGACACTTCGGGTTGTCAGCAATAACTTGATATGAGCATTAAAAGTGGACCTTATATTATTCATGCATGTAATGTTTTTACCCTGATTTTGGCAGTTTACGGATTTAAAATGTTATGTTTATAAGAAGATAGCATGCTCTTCACCACTAAATGTTTTTGGTTGTGGTCTGCTTGGAATGTTAGTTTCCTCTGTAAAACAACACAATTTTACACACACACACACACACACACACACACACACACACACACACACACACACACACACACACACACACACACTAAAAGGGGTGTTTATACAGTGAATTCAGTGAGTGGTGGCCACTGGGGGAAAAAACTAGGCCAAGGGAGGTGTCATGCTGATATAAACAACTCAGTTGAAATGGTCAGGGCAAGGGGGGGAAGTGTGGGATAGAGTTGGCTCAAGCAATCCATCATGTCCTTCACTTCACACACACTTGGCTATAGTTGTGTGTACAAAAATATATGCTTATGAACTTTGTCAGGTGATTAACGTGCACTGGAACGACTTCAAACTTGGTCTCTGAGAATATTGTCTCTCTTTTTGGTTTTAAATATATTTGTTTACATCTATTCACTGTGGGTTAATATGCTTAAGAGCAGGCATGGAAATGTACTACTTTGTAAAGGAAATCTGTACTATCCATGTGTCCTTGACTCTGTATGTATGTGTGTGTGTGTGTGTGTGTGTGTGTGTGTGTCCATGAATGTCAACAAAACCCTAATACTTACTTCCTATGAAAGGCATGTTTGCATGGACAAATCCCCAGCTCGTCTTTCTGTTTAAACTCCTCCAAGCACACGGCACATATCTGAAAAGCAGAGGGGGAAGTTAGAGATATTTTCCGAGGAAGGCAATGCAACAACTTTGAATTTGTTGGTTGTTCTCTGGTGTTTGGTTCTTTCATTCTTAATCTGAGCTTTGCGTTGGCAGATTGGAAACAAACTATTCAAATGTCAGAGGTCAGAAACCCATGGAAAAAGACAACTTTGGCCAACATCTGCAAAACATTTGACACAAACAACAGAGAACTGACCAACTATGTTCTGTTATATAACTCTGACTTAACTCACACTGGGGACTTGTTCAGCCGGTTGCCGGAGGCAACCATTAGTGACAATGTTTTGTTTTTTCAAAAAAACTGCCAGAGATCACTGTGATTGAGAACCAACTTTTTTCAAGTTTTGTTTCTAAGATATGAGACTGCAAAGACTGAAAGATTTGTAACACATTTACTGATATATAAGCAGACCCACATCAAAGCATCATAGTGGACAGGAAAATGAGTACATAAACCTATTTTACTAACGGACAATAAGTTTATGATCTTTAAGGGTCACTGAGGCAATCCTGGGGTTGTTTGTCTTTTTCTGTATTTGTTTTACACACACACACACACACACACACACACACACACACACACACACACACACACACACACACACACACACGTGTTCAACAGGCAGGACACTAACAGATGACGACCTGCTAGCTAGCATTAGCTAACTGTTGGTTGTGTGTGACATGGTAATTCATTGTAAATCTAAATATTAACTTGAACTTTTTCAGTCAAATTCTGTACTTGCCTTCCTGGAGGATCCCAGGGTGTGCCCAGACCAGATGAGATATATAATCCCTCCAGCCTGTTCTCAGTCTGCCTAGTGTCTCCTACTATTTAGAGGTACCTGTTATGTACTGTAAATCCACAGGAATCTATAATAGGTGCCCAAGAGACACCATAATCTCATAAAAGGCAGAACCACCTCAACTTTCTCCTTTTTATGCAAAAAAATAGAGGTTATCCTCCAAGCAGTTGCCAGACTTCACTCAAATCTCATTTGGGCAGCATGTAATTACAATCATATGTTTTGCAGTCACAATCCAGGGCTACTGACCACAGATGAGGACTGGCTTAAATCCACTGGTAAATTCAGACACCATAGTCTTTAAACTCAACTTCCTCTTCACTTCTGAGTCTGATACTGACACTCACATAGCTGGTGACACACCTCCGCCCCTTTCACATACATTTCACTTGTCTTTACCAAACACAAGTCAACAATAATATAACATATATCAAGAGCGTTCTGTCAAATGCATCATTACCAACTGTAACTGCAATAGTGGACTCACTCCACCATGGTGCTCGACAAGGATGATAACTGTAGAGTCTGACAATAGACAAGAGTATAGGACAACTTCTGAATAAGGAAGTGCTAATGGATAGGATGGGGGTTGCTTGTAGCAAATCAAAAGGAAAAATATGCACAAATGTCACAGACACATAGAATTCCCATCATCAAACTTCATACAACCAGTGGGTAACTGTTTCATGAAAGAGGGTTTTAATTTGGCACACTGTCTAATCCTGCAACTATTACTCCTTCAGCCACACAGATTCTCTTTTTCTCAGCTATATGGGGGGTGGATGGACAAGGAAGGATGAAAAGAACAGCACGGGGGATCTTAGCTCTCTCTCTCCTGATGTTTCTTGGACACAGAACAATTCTCTGTTAAGATGTCTGCTTTGTTCTCTTTATTTGTGAACAGATCGATGTTTTTCTTCTCTTTAATGCCTTGTTCATGGTGTCACACTCACAGTCGGGATCTGGCACCCTTCGCCAACTTTTGACAGAACCTCTTTCTCCCCATTAAGTGAATAAATCCTATAAGTTTTAGTTACAAATTCTATGCAAAACATATGGACTTCATTTTGTGGAAAAACATTACCAGATCATGGATTTCAGAGAAAACCCCATTAACCTACGCCCGTCCAAACTGATGTGCTTCAAGGTTTATGATTGTGCTGAAGACAAATCAATATATTGCCCATGTCAACGACAAAATATGTGGTACAAATGAGTTACTTAACAAATATTAGGTTACAAATTAATGTACGATTTAAAAAAAGCTTGATCTGAGAGAGCCAAGCAACAGTGAAAAGAGGAGAAGGACGAAGGCTCAGAATAATCCTCAGAAGCAATTTGTGGCCAGAATAGGCACTAGTTAATTTAAGTGGGTATTTAGACCTCTCTTTCTAGATTTCTAGTGATGAGGACATGTTGCCCTTGTTTTCTTATCTCCTGCACCACTTTTTTTTTTTTACCATTATCACCCACTTTTTTGGAACCACTTTCTGTTGTGTAAATAACTATTAACAAGTGCTTCTAATTGTCTACATCTATAGATCTGCATCTATTTACTTCCATTTTTGTCTTTCCACCTGCTCATTAAAAGTTTGGAATCTGCAATAACTTTAGATTCTGGTCACTAATTTACAGTCACCTTAAAAACATTCAAATCCAGGTGGCAAAACACACAATGCTCTACACATAAAACCATATTGGTACTATGACATTCACACATGGACAAAAAACAATAAAAAACAAGCAATAAACTTTCCACAACCATCAATTTAAAAACAAATATTTAAAGTAGGGACTAATGTCAATATACAGCAGAGATATGGCTGTTACCAATTTCCTAACTATATTAATGCATAAATATTAACAGGCCTTCGATTTAATTTAATACCAAAAACACTGTCAACATGGAACCAGTTACATTATCAAAATGAAAACGTCAACGGTTACACTGAACTTTATAATGCCAGATATGATTCTATTAACATAAAAGTATAAAATGATCCCCTCTAGCCCATATGGATAGAAAAATAAAACAACGGGATACAATCCTACCCATTATTCTTGTGAAACATAACCTAAAATGTGATTCTTAAACAAAGCAGTATGTCATAGAAGGTTTGAGGCTAATCAAAGAAATCCTACACCAGGGCCACTGCAGGGAGCTTCACACCAACAACTTGTGCCAAATCAATTAAGTGCAATTCTATGCTATATGTAATTGTATTAAAATGAGGATTGCACAAATAACTGGAGAATATAAAGCAAGTGTGGTTGATTACAGACTTTACTAACCACATTTACATAGTGCTTTATGGTAAAATGAGATTTAGATGTCATTTTACGTAATTCTCGCACTCTTTTTCTTTTCCTTGAAACTTTGTTAAGTGTAATAGATACTGAAATTATTAAGTGTAATTAGTTAATGTGTAGTGGAATCGCAGCCTTGTTTGTTTTGGAATGCAATATTAGATTGTAAGCACAAACATTTAGTAAGACACACCACAATCTCACCCACAGAATCAGGTAGGCACCAATGTCATCCTATAAACGATAGATTTTACTTGGTTACTAGAGGGCTGGGGGAGGTTGTTTTAGCACCCACTGCACACGACACACACGTACATTTGTGTGTAACCGCAATTTGATACAGTAGGTGTTGCATAATGTTAATCTTCAAAAGTTCAGCAGCATACCGTAGCTTTACTTTCATTCCATATTGTATGACATGAATTCTTTACATCTGGGACCGCTAAATGGAGATACGGGTCAAAGCCATACTACAGAAAGGAAACTGCTCAAGTTACACATCAATCAAACCTGAACATGACTTGTCCAGTAAACTAATCCCATATTAGCACTCCTACTCTAGATATTCCTTTAAAATGCTGATATTGAATCCTTGCAACTCAGTCTATGCTTTTGTCTCCAGGGTGATCCTTTGGCGTGGGAGCATTTAAAACTGGGTCATCCACCCAGGCTAGTGTGTGGGTGTATATTTTTGTCCTTAAACAAATACAGCTTGGTTGTCACAGCCTTCAAATCACATGATAACTTCTGATGCTTTCTCGCAGTTTCTGATAAAAAAAACAATAAAAGCCTGAGCCCTGATGGAACAGTGGGAAATTCCAACACTGATGTCAAGAAACTGTGTTTAGCTCTGTGTCAAAGCACACATGAAGATGCTATTATTAACATTTCATTTGCACTACACTGTTAAAGGGATAGTGTTCCTGGCTGGGGACTACTACTGCAAAGCCAGTGCTGCTGCTTTACACACTTACTGTTGGTTGTAATTTTCCAACCAGGCTGAGATGACATACAGCATTACGTAATAATAATGCCAGGGAGAGCACTCATGACTTAACCACAAAGTGCTAGCTTTCACATGACAGTGTGTCAAGACAGACGTACTGAATGTTAAATAATATACAATGTGTCATCGCTGTTGCCAAACAAGACATATCCAGAAAACTGTCAAAAACACAAGCACAAACAAAATTCAAAAGTGTTCAATCCAACTGCAAACATTACTGTGTGTCCTGACACATTACCAAGGGCTCAACATAAGAACTGCCACTTTGGGCTAACAAATCTAGCAACTCACTTGCCGGAAGGGATACACAAGAATGAAACGTACTTCTTTCTCATCTTTGTTGTACAGCTGTTGTGCAGTATTGATTGGGCACTCGGAAAAAAATGGTAGTAAAGTTTATGAGCTGAGGAGCAAGCACTTAAATTATCCTGGAGATGGGAGGTTCAATAGGGCAAAACTTCAACTATGAATAGTGCAGTTTGCTGCAATCCTGAGTGAAAGGCGGTTAAAAAAAGGGGTCTTTTTTCAAGGCACGTCAAGTTTCTGAAAAAAGTGCCATAACAAGATATCTCACTTGCATGGCAGCTAAGAGTGTCTTTGTTGTTACCTAAAAAAGGGCAAATAAATAAAACAATTTGTATTGGGGCAAGTAAAACTTGACTTTGGGCAAGAAGGTTTCTGACACTCTTGCCTGACTGGAAAAGTGGAAAAAAACAACATAAACATTAAACCCTGCATTACCCAACAGGAGTTTGTACCATTTGGAACTGAGGACATTTATGTTCATAATGACAGCATAAATTGGACCTTCAGAGTCCTGGACCCTAGCCCTTTATTTCAAATCGATCAATGGCAAAATATGGGGTTTAAGTTAAAAGGATGACCTAAGTAAATGGAAGATACTGTGGCAGAAGCGTTGATAAAATTAAGTAGCAGATGACTGAATTAGCTGATATAACAGTACAATGTGTACTTGTCAGGTTACATTACAGAATGTTCTGCCCACTGGATAGTCCTGGTTGTTTATGGGGAGCAATGTTTGGTATTAAAGGGTCATCAACTGATAATAACTGAACAAAGAAGATGGGTGCTTACCTCATGCAAATTTAGCTCTTTGACTTTTTCCTTTTGAATGACCTGAGAGGCATAATAAGAGATGAGAAAAGATTAGTCACTGGTTGGCACTAACAATGTGTTACATTAAGAGTAACCTGTTCCTGTGTAAATACAATGAAATACTTAACAGCTAATGAGTGTGTGATGAAACATTTACCAGTCAGACTGACACAAATAAAATATGTATTGTAATATAGTTTCTGTTTTATACTAAATGCATGTACACAAACGTGTGTGGGCCTGTGTGTGTTTACTATATGAGCTTGGTAGCCTTACATAACCCACAAAGAAGCTGGACAAATGTATGTTTTTAGCTGGCAAGTATTAAGATAAGTAGGGTGACAAATTACAGAGTTAATGGTCACCATAGCATCTACTGTGCTAGTGTGTGTGTGTGCGCGTCTGTGTGCATGTGTTTAACTCTGACATGTTCGGGTGTTTTTGCATGTTGGTATTACATAATTGAAGGACACAAGAGTTATGTTTATGCCCTCCATCCTTCCCTCTCACTAGCTTTGCAGGCTATACTTTGCTGACACACTCCAGCTCACTGTGAACCTTACTTGATTTCCTTCAGCTCAATTTAAATTCATCATTTTTAGTACCCTCACCAAAAACCTTTAAATACTTTGAAATGGGCTAGATCCATTGAGCAGGAAACCCCTTGAAATACCTGCAGCTGCCAGAAGAGTCAGTAAATGAATTCCTGCGCCAGCTGACCGGATATTTAGGATCTTCTCTGCACAAGTACTAATACTCTGACACATTTCTGCTTGACAGTAGCTCGTATATGATTTAATTTGGAGTGAGTGAGTGTGTGTGTGTGTGTGTGTGTGTGTGTGTGTGTGTGTGTGTGTGTGTGTGTGTGTGTGTGTGTGTGTGTCAGTGGAGTGCTTACTTGTTTGTATGCATATAGCTCTTTGTGCGCCTGATGCCGTAACCTGGGGAGACGTAAAGACAAAACATCTTTTTGATTAGGAAGTGACCTTCTCCAACTGACTGCATTTAATAGAGACAAAGTAATCATACATCCTGGAAAAAAAGAGAGAAAAATGACAAACATGGAAGTAATTTCCTCATTAAATACTTGCCTTCTGACATCAGTCTATTCTAGTGTATCATTGCGGTATCGAATGGATGTTAGAAATACAAAGCAACTTCATACTGAATATAGTAATAATTTGGCATACATCTGGCTTCTATATTTTACGAATGATGTATTTCAAAAAGAGAAAAACAAAGGCAGAGCAGTGCACATTCTTAATAAAAACATTTGGGTTGTGCATGTTCTGCATAAGTGCATGCGTTTAAGAGATGTTTCTGCCTCGGGCATACATCAGGTGACACAAATCATGAGACTACTGACTGAATAAATATTAATTTGTTTAACCAATTACAGAAAGGAGTGAAAATGGTACCTTACTGAACTCTGTTAAATATGGTTTGCTTAGTCATGCAATAGTAAGCTAAGTTACATATTAACAGATATCATTCCTAAAAAACAAAACACCCAAAATACATTGGATCAGACATTAAAGGTATTACTGCAGGTTGTCGAGGCACTTTAAACAGGCTTGCAAAACTCCAGGTACAAAAGGATTGTACCCACAGATTCAACCAATGTTTAACTCTTAATAAACATTGCTCTTGTTAATGAGCACAAATAAAACAACTCAGTGAACAAGGAGAGGACAGTAAGAGCACTGGACAAGAAAAAGAATGTAGGTACTGAGAATAAGAATAAAAAATATGTAGAAAAAAAGCAAGAAAACAAGAGAGATAGGAGAAATTCATAGGTTTGTAAGATTTACCTCCATTACAAGTAACCTTAACCTCTCGCAGCAGAGTGAGAGGGATCTGTAAAACAAGCAGCACAGTCTAGGAGAGAAACTGACATTTTGAAAGAGGTCAGCAGGAAAAGGTGCAGATACTCCCAAGGGTAGGGGACAACTGGTCATGTGTGAGGGGGTCGTGGGTAACTGACTGGAGTTGCTCAATGGCCAAGTACAATGTCAAAGTGGGCAACGAGAATAACTCGATGAAAAATTGGTATCCAGATTGACTTTTCACTCAAAGCTATCATTATCATTGAGTGCAGTCAACGGGCAATTCAAAATGTAAAATATGTGTCAGACATCATTATTGTCAAGAATGTCCAAATGGTCTGGACTACCTTGTGGTATGTCACTTCACTGAACATTCATGAGCACTAAATATAAATGTTACAAAGTGCATGGGTTAACCAACTTATAGACTGATGTAGGTTCCTTCACACTGCACATTTATAAACCTTTAGGCCACGCTCATGACTTCAGCATGCCAGGCCTCCTGTCCCTTACTTTCACAAACACCCCATGCTCAGGAAATACTTGCTATATATACACTGCATTGCATATTTCACATATATGTGTGTGGAGTGAAGACTCACTGATAAGAGGTGGTTGAGTATTTCTGCAAGAGTCTGCCCTGTGTCAAACTATGTGTCTAACTATGTGTCAATGTTTATCTTTGTTGGAATAATGACCCGTCACATGTCAACTCTACCGTAAATTCCTTGTTCCCTTCATCCACCTGCCAGTGTAAACAAGAGCAACGATGCTTACTGCACAGAAACCATAAGAGTTCCCCCTTTATGGTGGCCTTTGAGGTTTAACTAAGCTGTGGACATAACATATTTGTAAAGGAAGTATATGTATATTCATGAGTGCATATAATCCAAGTCATTTTGGGCCAGTCCTTTGGGAGACTGCATCTTTAGACGCCTTTTATGGAGCAAAAATTTGCTCTTTTTGCCTTTACTGATTAAACCCGACAATCTTGACTTTCAGTATTGAATCATGGTACTGCATCAAAGTCATAAAGTATCTCTTTAAAGTTAGATAAGGAGTTGGTGGAACAAATGAGTTGTTAACCTACTTACCATTTGCCCTGCAAGATAGGATATGACAGGGTGACGTGGGGTGAATTTTGTTGGGAACTGCTGCTTCTCACTGTCTTAGATAAAAAATGTTGGAGATTATTTATTTTCAGTTGGTCGCTGGCAGGAGAAAATCCCTGCAGCAACAGCAGCCAGGACAATTTGATTACACCAGTGGGGTTAAAAGGGGGGGGAATGACTTGTAACCACCTCCACTTTTCCTTAATGAGAAATAATTGCTGGATCACACTCATGGCTAAACCCTTAAAATGGGAGCTTTAACAAGGAATATTTATGGTTACAAAGAGATTTAAACATCCAAATGCAAATTTAATAAATTAAAAATGGTTATAACCAGTTTCTTTGACGCCAAGTGCCATGATCATAATAATGTAGCCAAGCATCTTTGGATCTCAGCATAATATTACTGTTTTTCCTATCAATTCGGATGATACATTCACCAATTGTAGTATCATAGCTACCTTCTCCAAACTGTGCTGTTGAAACATTTTGCCCTTGTGTGAAATAACGATTAGCAATACAAAACCACATATTTCTAAAAGGGGAAAAAAAAAAAAAGATTAATTAATTCAGCCTCAACTAGGAGCAATTGTGACAAGTGCCATACAGTTTGTTGGACAGAAACTACATAATTATAAGATACTGTTTTGCATTTTAGGAACATAACAAATTCAGCGTGCAGATATGCTTTATGGTAGTGCTTTTTTTAGATTACTAGATATAATAGTGCCAATAGTATTAAGCAATAAGGATACAGCCACAGTGAAGTAGCACACAAGGGCACTTTTGAACAAATAATTAATGAGCCAAAGTGACCTGAAATGTACAAGGATGTGTTGCATAATGGCAGTCTCAGCATTCAGTTCTCATTATAATGTTCAAGTCTCACAAGTAGTGGTACTGCTAGAGGTACAGTATGTTCAAAACCATCTGTCTTCTAAGTCAGGTTACACAAAGCCCTTTCTGAATAAAGTTTAAAATGTACATTTAAAAAGTTGAGCTTGCAGGAATTTGCATTTTAAATTGAATGTGTAAATTATTTTTCAGTGTTGTTATATTTGTCGAGGTGTCAAAAGGTGAGGTGATGAAAACTTGTGTTGTAAAACCACTAGATTAATGACTTGTTGCACCCAGTAAATAGCCGATGCTGCCTAACCAAAGAGACCCCTGTATGACACTTATTGCCACAAAAATCACACAGCAAAGCAATATCAAACACAAGAAAAATTCAAAACAAAGCTAAAATCCAAAGCTAAGGGTGTGTTGGTCTTACCTTATTAAGTAGCAGCAGAAGAGGAGGCTGAGGATGAAGACAAAGATGGCTGTCCCAAACACCACAATGTAGATGTTAAGGGGAAGGTTCTGGAACCCTATATTTGGCATCCTGGAATTGTAGTGCGGGAAATCGGAGCTCATGGATATTCTGCATGGAGAGAGATAAATGACATAGTATATAAGCATTTTCATTTCTGTGAAAAGAAAAAAAAGCGACACTGACACAAATGAAACACAAACTGAAAACTTTAGTTTCACTTTCAATTTTTTTTACTTTCAATACTACAGGAACATATTTCAGGGTTTGGTTTTATTTAGCCTTTATCAGCCAATACAGAGTTTACACGTTTTCAACTGCTAGTGCAATAGTCTCTGTTGGCCTTATTCTGAAAACACATTGCTATATTTAGCTTTTTTTGGGTGGACTAAACCATGGCCATTCACATCGTGGTGTATTATGCAGTTAATGGGTCAGGATCAATGGGCATTAGTAACTGTAGTCATAGGCAAATAGGCAATTGTGTAGAGTGGTATTTAAGGAAGAGAGACACCGTGCGAAGTGAGTCCACTCCAAGAAATGTGTGTTTGTGCCCACTAACATGCAACAGAACACTCAAATCACAGCATATGCGATAGCTGTACAGCTGAATACAGACATGATTTAGATCTGAAAGCCAAATCCTTTCTAAAAAAATGGCTTATACATTAGACCATCATAACACATTTTTAAAATGTAACCTGTCACGACATGAGGCACAAAGATATCCTTGAGCCAAATGTGCAATACTGCCTCATTTATTTTATTTTTTATTTTCATTTTTTTTTATTACTCACAGTTCCTTGAGACTAAAAACCATTTGAATTATCCCATAATGTTAATAAACTGTATTTGTAATAGATATGAGGGGAAGCACGGTTCCTTCGTGCTCTGGCAGCTGGTGCATCAGTTCTGATAAAGGTTAACTGGTTCACAACAGATACAAACGTGATTTAGTTCCTAGAAACACACTGATACTAAAAACACAAGAGAAATTCAATAAAAAGCTACAGAAAGTTATTGAGAAATATGCACTTCAACCCTTTATCCCCTTCCTCCCCTAACTAATGAGCCAATGGCCATTCCTGCGCAGCTGATTTACAACTCAGAGCAAAGCCCTGTTGGTCTATAGGGTTTGTTTAAATTGGTCAGATGCCAAACTCTCAAATCTATACTGAAAGCCAACAGCAAAGAAAAGGCACAAAAAGTGATAAAAGCCCACTCAGAAAACCTACTGTGACATTAAAAGTCTAATTTATTTCCTATATGAATAACATACAGCTATACTAAAGTATTCTACCACTCTGCATTTTCCATAAACAAGGAAAGAAAAGGTTTTGTTATTTGACTTACACTTTTAAATACATGCTAGTAAACCGGTAACACAGCCTATTGTGTTTCAAATAGGCAAAAACAATGTTTATAAAGGCTATACATTAACATTTATTTGCTCACATTGTCTGTGCACAGTTAACAAATGATTCATAAAAGTCCGGCCACATCTACTGGTCAAGTGCTCTTACTCAATACACCATAGGGACATGACCAGACATGTCTACGCCTACCCAGAGAACAGGAGGAGAGGACAGGAATAACTTTGGCTCTTTTGGGAACCACGTCTTGTGCCCCTCCCTTTCACTAAACACCAAGAGCTTCATTCCTCTACACTCCTCTGGATAGTGGAAAGTTTTGCAGGTTTTGCTGAGGCCATTAACAATCCTTTCCTGCTTACGATTACACCATATATGTATCACAGTGACCCCCGAAACTTGCACTCTGTTACATAACTAAGGTCTATCTCAGTATGGGGAACACACTCACAGCAGTATCCCCAGAAGCCTCTATATAACATTACACCAGCCAGTATTTGCAGTCATGATGGGCAGTACCTCCGTGCTGAGACACTTGACAGAGTTGGTAAGACAACTGGCTCATGATATCAGAGAGCGGGGCTGACAGCGCTAGTAACTTGAAGTTCTCTTTCCAACATATGTTTCAAAGTCTCACAATGACTTCAATATTACCAGACAAGCTTATTTCAACAACTGACAACCAACGCACGACAAGTTGTCAAAACATATGAGGCCTGTCATAAGCTCCATGTTATATAAGAGTGGTCCTGTGTATGAACTGAACGTAAATATCTCCAGCATGTTTGTCTTGACATGAGGCCCGAACAAGTATTAAAAGACAGCATCATCGTGTCCATGGGAGTTAGTGGTTGGGAAAATTTGTTCAGCTAAAGTTGAAAGATTCATCTTTTAATGGGACAAAGAGCTGAGACAAGGGAAGGAGCAAGTGTTCTACTTTCATGAAATGGCAAACAAAAGGGTACTAAACCAAGAAGATAACAGGACTATCATTAAAACATTATCCAACAACTCCTACGAGGCGAGAGAATTGCTGACATAAGCCACAGGAATGAAATACCTGTGATTCTGGGCCACACTTGTTTAACGCCCACCTCTTCAAGACACTGTGGATGGGCCATGAAAGTAAACAGTGGTACTGAAATTACAGGGAAGCTCAACTGTGATCAAATTAAATGCCCATAAGCTGAGGCATTTTTAAAGGAGATGAAATATCAACCCCCAGGCCAGGGAAACTAGGTCCAGTCCAGGTGCTGCTGTGGTCGGGAATTGTGTGCATAGCTAAGGCTGAGTGAGTCATCAGTTTTATATTAAATAACCACTAAAGCAGGTGTCATTTCCAAACCCTGTAAGCCATTTTAGCCATGTTAACTGTTGCAGACTTTAATCAGCTGTAGATAAATGATGCAATTACGTCATTTTGATATTCTTCACCCAATTTCAAACTCAAGCCCTGCTTCGCTGTCTATTTATCATTCCCTCCAAACACAGCCCAGACAACCTCCTCTTGCTTATCTGAACACACAGACATGTTGCAGAGCTACATGTCTTTCACACAAAGCGACTAGCACCTCCGGAAATACATGAAACCAACACACAGACGCTTCATTCTTCACAGTTTGTAATTAAGTAACCTTATGGTTACATACTTTAATGCTGACTTCTCTACAGCTAGCTTAAATAAAGGACTGGTGGTGAACACACACGTACCCGAGTGGTGCCTTCATGCTGAAGAGCAGAAAAGTCTGCATAGATCTATAATACAGGTCCTTGAGAAGTGACATGAGTTGTACTTGTGAGCCTCGTCAGTGGGTTGCCGCCTGTTGACTTGTTTGGATCATGGCCCTTCTGTGCCCAGTTCATAAAAGCTCCATGCCAAGCCCTGCTTCACTCTCTGACTCCTTCTGGTGTCTCTGCCTAAACAGCCACAACAACCTCCCCCTGCTTATATGAACACACAAACATGCAGCAGAGGAACATGCTTTACACACACACACACACACACACACACACACACACAGAAATACCTCAGGAGGAATTTGAGACTAGCACTGAAAATCCATCCTACCGAATAGATAATTAGGTAAGAACAGAGGCCTCTAAGGAGAAGGTTGGTAGGTATGATTTTTAATAGATATTGATAACCCACAGTTTTGCGAACTTACAAAATACTATTCAAAGCATATGTGGATTTATTTAGTCCCAAATACATGAAAAACTGCTTCTCCTTTATACCCTTTTACAGATATATCATTATTTCCATTGTCATTAGAGTTTACAGCGACAGCTTCTGTACTGGCCAATGAGGTTAGTGACTGCTAATTCCCATGTGTGTAGAAGCAAGTCTATAATGACGTGTGGACATTTATAACACTTCTTTGTTAGCAGCTGAGTTTTAAATAATGAGCTGTGACTTCACCAGACCTCACATGCGCCCATAGAGAAATTCCAGTTTTCTCCTTCATGTTGCAGATAGTGGTAAACAATACTGACAGTGAAGACAACATCGAGGTGTAGAAAGGCTCAGTAATCTTCTCCTTTTTCAAAGCCATTTCCACCGCAATTGTTCTTTCAGAAAAATACAAAAATACTTTGAATCACCACTCAGATCTCCAATTAATTTGTTCAGTGATTCAAATAGGTCTAGTGTTGTACTAAATGAAAACTGTTTCCCTGACAGGAGAAACAATTTGCAGTCAGTTTTTTTGTGGGTGGGATTAAAAACGGGGACGTCATCTTTCTGAATAGCTAGCTGGCTTCCAGGCTAGGCTTTGGTATTTTAATTTGCCATGTTCTTTCTTTCTTTCTTTCTTTCTTTAATTCACTCACCTACCAGTATGATAAATATATTATTCACTCCTTGGGGGCTTTTCAAATGATGATTTGAATATTCAATGTTAATGAGGCGGCCCTAAGGAAATAGCACCAAAAATTTAAAAAAAGGCAATTATCAGGTTAAAGCAATCCTTTGCAAGTATTGCTCCATATTACAAAGTGAATAAAAGCATGTAAACACAATTATTTTGCATACAGTAATGGACATATGACATGGCCTAATAATCTATGACATATTCATCTAATGTTGTAGTGATGCCATCACCATCAACAGAGGCAGCTACAGTAGGACAGTTATAGGACAGACATGTGTCATTCAGCTGGCATGAGTTTAAGAGATGACAGCATGTCATTCAATGCAGGTTAGACTGAATGACAGATTTAAAAGGTCCCTCTTCAACTAAGTCTTTTGCTCTTGGGCTGTCCCCCTTCGCTCTGTGCGACACCCTTACAGTATCAAGATTCACTGACATAGAGGATCTTGGGTTCATCAAGTGATCTAGAAATCCAACTCCTTTGCAGTAAACAACCCACATGCCACAAAAATGCTTTTGGATGTTCGAGTCCTGCCCAGGCCCTTTTCTGCATCTCTCTCTCTCTCTCTCTCTCTCTCTCTCTCTCTCTCTCAAAATAAAAGCAAAATGCCAAAAAATAAATAAATAAATTAAGTATACCTGACTGTGTGAGTGGAGAAACAAAAGAAGTGCAAGTGCTTCCATACAGGCATCGGGGTTGTTCTGTCAAGTAGAGTTCAACAGACTGCTAGTCTATGTCAAGGCCCATTGAAACTCCTCTGGCAGCCAGTAGTGGGCCTGCAGCTTAATTTGTCACAAATCTGTGTTTCATCTTAAAGTCAAATATTTAAAGAATGTAAACATTAGCCATGACATTAAAAACTAACCATAG